ATAAAAAAATAAAAATAAAAAGATCACTCTGATCTTTTGGGAATATTTGGGGCTGATGATGATATCCAATCATTACCCCGTCCCAATATATATATATATATATATAAAACTGAGAAGAAAAAAACCCTTTGTGAAAAACAGCAACAACCGACGATTTAATCTTCGACGTTTCGGCCGGAGTCCGGCCTTCGTCAGGAAGACGAAGGAATATATATATATATATATATATATATATATATATATATATATATTCTAATTAACTGTCGTCTCCATTATTCGTTTCTTGTTTCTCTTTTTTTTCTTCTTACTTGTTTACTTCGTAAAACACTTAATGCCGTCGTTTCACCTGTGATTATCACGCGACAACAACAAAAAATATGAGTAAAACAAGAACTCTCATTTCCTCGTCATCGGATGTAGGAAGAAGAAGGTAGTTAAGAACTGAACCTCCAGCAGCGTAGAGCGGAAGGCCTCACTGCCGCTCCCTACACGGGAGAGAAAGCGACTCAGCGGGGGAAGAGAAATTCATTACGCGAGATTTCGCGGTCTCGAGTTTCTTTTCCTCCCTTCCCCGGCCATCTTGATTGTCTGGCGAGATTAAGTCCGGCCCCCGGGGTCAATTCGCACGCTCCCTGGATCTCGCCCGCCGCGGTCATCGCCGAGGTTCCGCACTCGTCGTCGTCGGCGATTACGGTCAGCGCACCAATTAGTCGGCCGCGGGGCGGACGCCTTCGAGCAGTCCCACCTAGAAGACAAGGCCCGTGCATTGCGCCATCGTCGGTGGATCCTCGACCCGGCCCGAGCGGCGAGCACGCTCAAGCTCCACGAGGGAAGCCGCAAAGGGGCAGACGCGTCCGTCTCTTCGTCGCGAGGCGCTGCGAGACGCGCTGGTGACGACGCTGACATTAGGTAGGCGATGCTGCGTGGATTCACTAGTGATGACGTGAGGTGGGGTGAAGACCTCGTCTTCTATAGTCCACTTTAGCAGAGCGAACGCTGCAAAGGAGGTCCTCTCCAGCGTTCACTCTGCCAAGGGGGAAGAAAGGTGGAAGCGGCTTCCACTTTACCCTATACCTGCCTTCGAGCGAGCGCGGACAAGTGGGCTGCCGACTCCCGGTCGACGACACTGTTCCTCGCGACGAGAGACTGTCACAGGAATAAAAAGAAAGCGACACAGAGAAGGAAGACAGGACAAAACGTCCTTGCCTGTCCTTTCCTTGTCCTCGCTCCAATTCGTCGAGAAACACTGTCATCCGTGCTCCGTTCATTTGTTTCTTTCAGCCCTTGCATCAGCGTTCGCGAGAAACTTCGCCTCATTCATTCATTCATATAAATCCGCAAATGGATAAGTAACCAGAGACGTTTCTTCTGGGGCTCGCGAACGAGTTATACAAATATAAATATGTCGCGACACTGTTAGCGTGAATGAGCGATCGCCAGTGTTCCGTGGTTTGTTTTCTTAAAATTAAATACCGGCCAAAAACACATTCCGAGCAAAAAGACTTCGTTCGGGACACTAATTTGAGCTGTAATGATCGATGCCTACCAGTACGTTGTCTAACGAAAACTCCCACGCACTTACAATTCCAAAAAAAAAAAAAAAAAAAAAAAACCTCAATTGGTTTTTTTAGGAACAAACCTCTTTAAATTTCCACCTCTTCAATTATTTATTTCTCAATGGACTTCCCTTCGTGATAACATTATCACAACTCTGGAATCATCTAACCTAACTTTGAGCTTTTTCTTTATTTTGTATTCTGATCTCTTGTATTGTTTTTAAGTTGTATTTTTTGGCCCGAATCTTATGTAAAGGCTAATAGGTGCGCCTTAAGGGTGTCACTGTCGCCCTAACAGTGTTGCGCAGAGTGCATCGTTACTGTGCACTCGCTCGAGCAACGAGTTCTACTTATCGACAGAGACTTGGCGACCGGTCTTATCTCAGCCCCGCCTCGGGCCGCCCCGCCGTGCACCCCTAACGGCCTCCGGACGCGTCGGCCAGCGAAAGGAAGGAAGGCCCGCCCAGGTCGCAGCTGGAGTCAGGACCCCGGTATCGATTACAGGCGCTCAGAAGGCCGCTGAGATCGGCGAATCCGTTCCATTCCCGCGCCAAGATCGCCCCCGCAGCTGCGGTGTGTGCCGTCCGATCTTCTGCCCGTTGGGATCGGCAGCTGGTCGCGGTCTGCCCGTTCAATTAGTTCGCCGGCGCGCTTAATTGGACCGTCGCTGCGCCGTCCGGGAGAACGTACCGCGGGCGCGTCGCCAGACCACGCGCCGTGCTCTCAGGACGAGCTGGACGCCGCGCGGCATCACGGGGGGTGGGGTGCAGATACGCCAGTATTACGCGGAAGAGAAGGCCCGCGCGTGACGTCATCTTTAGTGGCCCCGCCCCAAGCGGCAAACACACCAAAGCTCGACGGGACACCGGTCCGTCTTGGCGTCGACGCGTGCTAGCGTGGCGTTCGCTGTTAAGGCTCTGTTATACTCCGACGTAACGCGTGCGCGCGTGCGAGCGCGTCACAGCGACGTCGCGTCGGCGAAAACCCGACGCTCTATACTCCGGCGTCGTGGCGTAACCGACGCGACCGGCGGCGTTCGACGCAGCCTGACCGTCTCGACGCCAAAATGGAGCATGCCGTATTCCGCGCCGGACGCGCCGGCGACGCCGGACCAGGATGCATCACGCGCTGGCTCCCGGCAGGCGTCGCGCGGGAAGTGCGGCGAATGCGAGCAATAGCAGACGACAGGAGCACCACTCCGTGTGGCGTCATGTTTGAAGAATCGGACTCGGTCGTCGAGAAGCTCATCGAAGGAATTCGTCCTCACCCGTGTGTCTACGACACGAGGAAGCTTGAGTACCGTAGACCGTACGCTTCTCGGAGATGTACCGTATGTACATTGATCGCCTACGCTTGCGGCGCAGGTGGTGCACCAACAGTGCAAGCGCGAGTTTTCGTCGAGCAAGGTACGTCCACGCCATCGCTCGAACTTGGCGCTCAAGAAGCGCGAGCATTCTCGTCTGCTATTCGAAACGAAAAGGAACCGGAAGTGGCGCACTCTCGCAGGAAACGTGCCCTCGTAGTCAGATTCTGCGCATGCGCCACGCCGGCGGCCCACCGACGCGCAGCCGCGGGAGTCGCCAGGGCCGAATTTTTGACGCGCGCGGCGTGACTGACGTGACGTAGCCGACTTCGGCCAGCGTTCGCCTGCGCGCGCGTTACGTCGGAGTATACGCCTCGCAAGTGGGCTCATTTTCGTCTTCTGCGCATGAGAAAGGAGGCGCGAAGGCGGGAGAGGAGGTTGATGACGATTCCGGCTAAGCTCCGCCCTCGCACATGTCGGGGAGGCCGGGGGGTAAACAAACATCGGCGTCGGCCATGGCGGCCGTGCTGTAGCGGCGACCGCGAGTCTTTTGTTTATTGTAGCCCGGTTTAAATTTGCCGAGTCCACAAGATCGAGCAGCTTTGTGCCCCTTACGATTCCTCCGTCGTCTGCTAGAAGCATTTCGAAGATTCCAAGATGAAGACGACGAAGAGCATCAAAAGAAGGCGCTTGCCTAGCCTCGCGATTGAAACGCCGGTTGCGCCGGTCACTACGAGACCGCCGCCCGATTGTACCGGTAAGTTGCTTTTTATCTTGTGCTTCCTTTACGAACACAACAGATTTTGCCTTCTAGCAGGTCTTTAGAAATCTTGTGTGGCGGAGTCGATAGGCGCTATTAATCGAAAAACAGCCGAGAATGTGGTGTTTTCGCGATCCTCCGAAGCCCATTTTCGCAGGTGATATTTAGGAATTTCGACTCGAAACTGCACGGAGGCCGTATAAACTATGTTCCGTTTCATTTTAAATGCGATCGAAGTTAAATCTACATGGGCGAGTCCCGAGCTTTGATCATAGCTGCCATGTGCGATCTTGCAGTGCGTTCTCGCGTTTGTAATTTTCTCTTCGTTCGCACTTAGATGAGACGCAGTATAGTCATACATCGTATTTGGTACAGTAGTTTCAGTCTACGGTTGTAATCATGGCGCTGTAGAAAAGCACAGAGCTCAAAACTTACCACAAAAACGCGATCGTTTTTTTTTGTTTTTTTTTCTTTCAGGAATGCAGTTGGAATGGCTGTTACGTGTAATACAGTGAACCAACTCGGACAGTACAAATTTGCCGTTTCACATTACCCAGTATGAGTGAATTGCCAACGAAGTACCGATGCCGCCTTTCTGCAAAATGTGTTGCGCAGTGTATCTTCGAACCACATCGACGCTGTCAGTGTCTGACGTGTTTTTGTGTGTCGCTTGTCTCCTTTTTCGTTCCCATACCAAGATGAAAATTCGGATATCGTGCACTATCCAAGCCTAGCTAATGAGCGCCCCATGGAATTGACACGGGAGTAAACACTGGCTAACATGTACATATTTTTGTTTTGTTCGCTCAGCAGACTGGGGCTGAGTGTGTAAGTGACAAACTTTCTAACATCATTTGTCATTTCTAGGTCCCAGATGGGCTGTTGACATCCAGAAACACTCCAACAGATGGTGGTCATACAGCGATTGTGAAGAAAGTCCCATTTGGATCCACATTCCTAGTCCACTCATTGATAATCTTTCCTTGTTGCATCAATGCCCAAGTATGCCAGGCACTGAGTGACTACTCGCATGTGTTAGTGATGGTGGCTTGCGAGGCTTCAGTATCGTCGCTGCTGATAGGGCTCACCCTCACACCAAAGCTGTTGGTGGTGTACCTTTCCATGGAATTGTTTGGTTGATCCCAATTTCCTAGAAACGCCAATATTCAGTTTGGTGTGCCTTGCGGCTGAAGTAAATTCATCAAGGAGGTCTCGTCTCTTTCCTGGGGGTAATACCATGTCAGCTGCTTTGCATGAGACACTTGGAAACTGTTTGGACTGCTCTAAAGCACTTGTAATTGACCTTACCTGTTGTGTCCATGCTAATGCTGAAATGTAAAGTTCACTGAACCAAGTTTTACTAATGAACCAAAACAATCAGTGGAAAGGATGAATGGCTTTATTTGTTTTCTCGAAGTATACACTGTTTCATACATAATACATGATGCTGGCAACGCTACTTTCATTAGCAGACAACTTAGTCTACACTCTGTTTCACGATAGCTTGGTGAACTGTGGAGGCTCCTGCGACCCAGTAAGAACGTCGGAGCGAGGCACATGGCAGCATGTCACAGGAGCGCCCGTGTCACCGCGCCAAATGCAAGGACCACCCACCAGAACCGGCTGTCGTATGCTCAGAAACCCAACGAATTCGGATGGACGTCCACTGCAGCAACATTGCCGTCCGCTAGAGTAGCGAGGTTTTCAGTAACACTTTTATGAGGCAACCACATGCTCAATTTGCCCATGAATCTGTGGCGGGTGCTAATGCTAGGGCGATGTTTTGAGCGGAAGTGGTCGATTCACGGCTACGATTGTTTGAACGTCGATCACAAGCCATGTTTTTCTCAAAAGTGTTGATCTATATTAAGTGTCGTTAATAAGTAACATATGTCTTAGTCTTTCTTCAGTGTCGTGCAGTGTTGCGGTCCGAAGAATCCGACAGCAACACTACTAAAAGAAGAAGAGAAAAAAAAAAAAAAACCTAGAACTATGTTTTGTTGCAAATGACGCTCTTGCTGTGGCGATAACGAGGACTCGACCGTGGAGTGTTGTCATGTGCCTGGCTCCGATGCTCTTATTGGGTCGCAATGTTTGCCAAGTGACCGTGAAACGGAGTATAGTGTCTCACCTGTACACGCTATAAAACAAATGAGATGCCAGGTGTAGCCACTTTTGCAGCTGTAGCCCTTATTTTATTGCTTGCTATGCTGTTTGGAAGAATACATAAAAAAATCAGCTTACAAAGCCAAGTCTAATTTTTTGCACTCTTGCATGTTACGAAAATAAAAGCATCACGCCTGAACACCAACATCTGTCTCTAAATTATTCCTTGCTGAAATGAAAAATAAATATACTGTGAATATGAACCAATACAATCTCAAACAGGTTTAAGAATGGATTCAATAAACAATTACTTCAATCTACAAGCTTGAAATCAAGTATGCGTGTGCAATAAATACCCTGGTCTTTCGACTATCCCCGTTGGCACTTGTTCTCGAAGGATAGGGACTTCGTCGATTTCACGGCAGTTCAAGCATTGGTCAGGCAACATGCTCGTGTTTATAGTTTCGGCTGTGCTATAGGAATAACAAAGGTGAGTTGTGTATTGCCGAGTCAAAGCAGAACTCTCAGGTCTAAAAGGCTTCTTAAAAATGCACTAAAGCTGGTTTTGACTTTATAATTACATGACTCGAACATAAACTACTCACTTCACCAAGTCTAAGGATTCACAAATAATCTGTGAACATGTATTCTGCTTTTATCTTCATTCACTTATGAAACTGGTTGCGTATATAAAATATCCAATCAATCTTCCACACCTCCCCATTGCGAAAAGGAAGAGGGAGATTCGTTGGCTTTTTTTTATCGCCAAAAAACAGAAAAAGAAAAGGAATAGGTTTCAATGTGCACATTACGTTGAAGTGGGACAGTTACGGAAACAAATTTTGCATCTTCAAAGTTCATGAAGTAGGCAGATTACTTTCAAGTCGTAAGAGAATAAAGTCAGAAACAACTTCAGCTCGCCTTCGGCGCATCTCCATCAAGGCTGTATAAACATAAAGAGCAAGCCAGCTCGCCTTCAATCAGATTTTCCCTTTAGATCCAGGGACGTTTCACCTTCATAAGGTCATCAGTAGCAATTGGCATCCATTTAGGACTCTGTAATGGTAGATGTACAAGCTTGACCTCAAAGTCGCAGTGCCCTCCTTTCATGTGCTTGCAGTGCGACCCCCTCATGCACTTGGTCCCAGACGGTGAAGCTGGTGCTGGACAGGATGTCGTCCCCTGTAAAAGAGTCGTCCCAGTAGTCAAACGATCCGGTTACACCCTGAGCAGCGTATTTGTCCTCCCATGCCATTACCAACTTAAAATCAGTGAAAGCCTATTTTGAAGCAACAGAATGCATAAATGAACATGTCTATTCCATTCCCTTCGTACCGAACACCTGCCAGAATCCAAGGGATGCAAATCAAAATAAATTACATTGCATTATTGGCTCTTTTGAGACTCGAACTTAAACCAACTCAAACACTACCACAATTTTAAAGCTGGGAACTTCGAGGACACCTCTCCATATAATGAGATTACATGCTTGTCCCACTCCTGGCTTGTCCTCATCCTGGCTTGTCCTCAGCAGGGTTGGCCAGCGTGTTCTCATAGTCCTGGGTTTTTAGTCTTGGAAGTTAAAGCTTTGGTTTTTGTCATTGCTTGGTTGCTGGTAGATGCTGGAGGAAGCTCGACCTGTTACTTTGAAACATCAAGTTTACAAATTGAGCACTATCCCATATTGATGGCCAGATACAGAAGCTAGATTTGTCATGTCAAGGAGGTTGTCATAAAACAGTGGGCACGGGACTGAAATTAGCGGCGGAGCGGGCGACCGAGGCGCATTCGGGAGTATCGAAGAAGACAAGGTGTGTGAGTTTTGCGCGAAAGCAGGATGATTGGCCAGAGATGTGAGAATGTGGCGTCGAGAGAACTTCAACCGGGCTGACTTCATGACTGTTATCTGAGCCACATTAACCAGAAGAGAAGAGAGTAACAAGTGAACGACGCACTACGGCCGAGGAGGTAATTGACCAGGTTATTTCACCCAAGCACCACAGTAGTCATTTCAACGACAAAAAAAAAAAAACGTCCAAACATCAGCAAAGCAATACCAGCAGCGTGCCGAGGAATCGGGTTGTGTGTATATTTATACAGTCTCAAACTCAATCTGCCTCGACGGGCGATGACTCTCCCAGCTGTAGATGACCGCTAGCCTGGGGCCCTTAACGTGCATCACGTAGTAGTGATACACGACCGCACGCCGGTACAATGCTCATCCAGATCGAAACGGGCAAATGTGGGGCTTGAACACACAATCCTGGGTCCTGCAGCGCGAGCTTTCACTCCACATTCTCCGAGCTGGTGCGTGGAAGCCCCCTCGGCCACCAATCCCCCGGTGCCAAGGAATAACATATAATAAATGACAACGGTACAGTCGTCTGCAACAGGTAGCTTTTCAGTGCCTTGAGCAACCAAGTTGAGATAATGCGACACTTCCCTGCCATATGTGGCTTGCAAAATAGAGATGTATAAGTCATAAAGCAAGTAATATGAATTTTTTTTTTTACTAAAGATATCAGCATTTGTATTTGGCGTCCACAACTTCTGAAAGCTACCTCTGAGTGCATAGAGTGGTTTCTTCATAATCTTACCTCTATGGAGAACTTCCCAGCTGGTAACGGGGCCGTGAAACGCAGACCCCCTGGAAGTCGCACAGGCGCCGAAGGCATTACACGGGGCCTGCAACATGTCCTCCGAGCCCGGCAGCCGGTGGATTCTGTTGGAATGATGGGGTAGGGGGAACACAAGCACTTGCAGATTAACGGACCTAAGAAAACCAGTAGGCAGGTACGAAAACATGCTACTCGTCCCCGCAGCGTTTGCCTCACTGGCGCTTTATGGTGAAACAAATTAGCGGCGCGCGACTGATGGAACACGGGTCCATGTCACATGAGCGAATGACATTTTAGCGAACAGCGACATTTGAGCGAATGGACGTTTTAGCGAATAACAGGGGCGCGCGTTAATCCATCCGCCGCGCTGCGCTTTCGCCGCTTCGCGGCGATAGTCTGCGGCGGATCATAACAAAAATGTGAACTCATTTGGCCCACCCGAAAACGCCGCTTCGCGGCGTCCGACTTTTCGCTAAACTGTCATTCGATGAAACCTGGGCGTTCGCTAAAACGTCATTCGATCAAGAGATTGCCTCCCATCTGTCGCTGGGGGGAAAGAATAAAAACAGACGACTGCGCACTCGGCTCGGTCGTACCACACCGATCGCCTAATCCGCTGCTTTTCCGTAACATTCCGTTTTACTTTGCTATACTCCTTTCACGTGCAACTGAACTGTTTGTGAATGATGCGAAGTGTACAGAGACGACGTAACTCACCTTAGCGAGCGCCATGGCGCGGTTCTCCGGGTGTCAGCGCTGCGGGAGATCGGCCTTCGAAAGCTCGGCAGCCCGTTCAGCTCGCCGAAGAGGGCTGTAGCTACACTTCGATGCTTCACGGAGACACCGAGTCACTTGCTGGCGAAAAAGGGTCTCCGCCAAAAAGTAGAAAGGCTCACTCGCGTCGCACATCACCGTGCTGACGTTGGGGGGACTCACATCAACATCCGACCGCCGGAGACCGGGACCCATATTGGTGCTTCGTATGCTCCCAGGGTAAATTCTTTCGCGTCAAACGAAGTAACGTACATTTCGAGGTATTTCCGGTCTCTTTTTTCCGTATGCCGCGTCCTCGTTCAAGCAGTAGCAGTGGATTTCTGAGAGCCACAGAAAAGGCCTTTCCCAATGGCTGCGGAGAAGAGACGACACCGCTTTGTTTACCCCCGAGCTCCCGCCCGGAGCCATCCTCCAATCAGAGCGCGGCGAGGTGACGTCACGCCACCGGCCTGCGCGAAAGAGCAGACGGCTTTCCCTCCGTATAACAGAGCCTTTAGACGCTGCACGACGCACGCTGGCGGCGATGTTGACGCGAGCGAGGCGGCGCCGCCTCGATCCACTAGTGATAACGTTTGGGAGGAAAGGCCTGGTCTTTCCGGCGGTATTGGATCCGCCCGGCGCCGCGATCATCGGTCAAACAATAGGTGATAATTGCCTCCGGTATTAGTGACGAGAAAACCCTCCGGGTCGATAACTGAGCCGAGGCAAAGCACAATACAGATAGAGGTCACCAGTGAGCGGTTTGTTATGCGCTCTAAGCTCCCGACCGAGATGGAGGTCTCATGGGATTCCTGCCATCTAACCCGCGGTGCTTCTAAAAAATTCTTTAAAAGTAAAAAAAAAAAAAAAATTTAATAGTTTGGTTGGGAGACGCGTGTTAAAAAGTTAATTTTACGCGAAAAATCAAATTTTTTTAGAGCAATATTGACGGCGAGACGCGATTTAGTCGGTAGTCACCTCCTTTCCACTTGTTTTCTCTCTCGGCATTTTGGCCGTGTGGGGGAGGAGACGTGGATCGGCTTCGCCTTCACGTTGACGTGGAAGGGGCGAATGACCATCTCGATGAGCGAATGACCGTTCCGTGACGTCATGGATTTTGCGCGCAGAATTTCAAATAAATCTCTCGCCATCAATATGGCTCTAAATTTTTTTTGCGTAAAATTTATATTTTTGAGCACGTGTGTCCCAGCCAAACTGCTTAAAAAAACTTTTTTTCCTTTTCAGGGGCTCTTTAATAATACTTTAAGTTTCGGCACTCCGACGTCTATCCCTAAAAGGGCGAACATCTGTCGAGACTATGATCGACATTAGTAAACAGGCTTCCAACATAGAGTGTAGAGCGGTGAAACGTCGCCATATATTAACCTTTATTCTGCCTGCTGCATTGAATCGTATGGTTTCTCGGCAAGCAACGCGTTATTAGTCGACAATTTGGCATCGGTGATTGGTGGCTACGTTACAAATGTCATGTTTTACAATTAGCTTCTTTTTTTTAAAACACGATACTGGACGAACTTGCACCAGAATTCCGGTCACTGCATAAGCATTGAAAAAAAAAAGTTTGCGTGTCTAGCTACGTTTCGTTTTATTATTTTTAACGCAGAATGTGTTCTATGGCTGCCACCTGACCACATTTGGTTAGGTTCCAGCCACGGAAGTCGACAGGCCGACTGCCAGGCCTAACGCCGGTGCAGCGCTCGCCCCTGATAGGATACTAGCGCCAGCCGAACCTCTTCTTCGAGAGAGACTCTGTGTTACTGCCGGCGGGGGTAAAACATCACGTGCTCAGAGATACAGCGGCGCTCTGATCCGTGAAACGAGCGTGCTCAAGCCTTCCCTGGAGAAAGATGGCGAGAGAGAGAGCGACAGAAAAGCAGAAAGAAAAATAAAAGCAGAGTCCTTCGCCGCAACGGTTTAAAGTATAGTTCCGAGTGTTTGGTCCTCTTTTGCCGCGAGCTGGTGCTAGGCCTGTGCTCGGCGCTGCCGCGTTCCAATTGTTCTGTTTTACCCTGAATATTTAGCAAAAAAATCATCTTTGTTTCATAAAGAAAAAGAGCAATCCTCAATGTTGCTTGTCGGGCGAGTTGGTGATGTGAAAAGTTTGAGCACAGGGTAGCGGTTTTAGACACGGACGAGAGGCTAGAACATGACAACCCAATGCACTAACTTCAACTGTTGATTCTTCATAAAAAGATGGGTATAAATACTTTGCGCCATCGCCACTTAACCGATAATCTGCCCTGCCGCTGTTCGCAAGAACTGGTCTCTTTGTCCGCCAGATGAATCGAAGCCACGCAGACGCACCCATCCCCGTAACTTGTTATCAGGTCTGCCTCTGTGATTTCCCGTTTTATCCCCGTGTCTACTGATGAACGTGCATGACTTGAACTCGGGTTCGAATACACAGTCATGAGAGTGCATCGACAAATGGCCATCCTGCTACCATGTTCTCAAAAAGCAGGCATCATTGCTCGGTTGCATATATCGATGACACTGAAATGATTCCAACAGGCTCCGTTCTAAGGGAGGCGTGACCGATTCGACGAGCGGTTCACTAGAACAGAGAAAAAACTGGCTCCCGATGCGGGCTCCGCATAGGGTTTCAATATCGTCATAGTTCTTCTCCTGGCCCCTAAGTTTCCACATGCGGCAAAACCTCGCTACTCAAAAGAACTGAGACGTGATGATAAGCACCGATTTCAACTAACAAGGTATAATATCGACGCCTTAAGATATACGCTTTTCCCTAAAACAAATCGTAACTGCAAAAAAAAAAAAAAAAAAAAATCTTTCCTGGACAATTGCGTCGATCAACGGTCCAAAGGTATTAGCGAATGTCATTTCAAAGTCAGGCTACTGATCCGCAGCCAATCCGATTTGCACACAAGCCGATAAGAACGTCGAATCATCGTGCAGGTACTCCAGGCATTCCACTGAATTATCGGTGAAGCGGGAGGAAATATACCCAAGTTTTGCGTACCCGAATTAAATTCTGCGTGGGGTCTAAAAAAAAAAAAAAGAATGGGAGCATGGAGTGTCCTAGGGATGACGGTAAGGGTCCATATGATCCGGGCTCGGTTGATTGCGCTTCTTTTCGCCGTCCAGCGCACATCGTCAATTTAGACGTATTCGATGGTCGTGCCTAGAGCAACCGAACTGCAATCCAGGCCACTGAGAGGGAGAGCGCTGACTGAGCCGAGCACCGCTGGAAATCCCCAGGCTGCGCTCAACGCATTCTCCCATTCGTCTCAATTAGGGATTTAATTGGAGAGTGCGCCCGGCCCCAGTTCGGCCAAGCCCCATCCGCGCACAATGCTACACGTTTGTCACGCAATGCGAGCACTCGAGAAAATTTCGACGTATCCAATCTCTCTTCATCTCAGGTTGTTATTATCAGCAACATCATCAACGTGACCAATCCCCTTCATCTAGATCATCCTGAATAATGTTTTTTTTTTATATAAAATAAGTGGATTATATTTTGTTCACCCTTAAACGCTTCACCCTCAAACGCTTCGAAGCAGCGACCTCGAGCTCTCGTGCGTGTGACATTGGCTGCAGTCTCAGCTTAAAGGGGCACGGAAACAAAATGTCGTGAGCGCGAGCTCTCTATCGCTCCGGCAACATAGACTGGCACAACCATTTTATGTTGTTGCTAAATGAAAGATGTCCTGTTCCCGTCCTCGTCCTCGCTGTTTTATACTTTCAAGTTTTGTATCTATTAACCAACACGCTCGTTTTCAATTGTTACGTCACCATAGTTCATGCACGGCCAACGGTACGGTAGTTGCGAGCCTTGCCGCTTTGTGGCGTCAACGCGTGACAATCTCGTCCAGTAGTAATATCCGAAGACTGTACGCCGACTGTAAGTTTGTTTACTAGAATATCCAAAATTTATGAACAGATCTCGCGCTTCTTGGTTTTTTCGACGTTCGCCCGGAGAATCGGCGGTTAAATGTTTCATCGGCGTTTCAAGCAGCGGTGTTAGGGTGGACTTGGTTCATCCTTTTCATGAACCGGAAGTTCGCTGGGACGTCAGGTACTTGAGCACCGCCTGGTGGCGTTTGCAAAGAAAAGGGTCTATATACTCCGTTCATCCTTAAGCTGAGACTGCAGCCAATGGAAAAAGCACGAGAGCTCGAGGCCGCTGTTTTGAAGTGTTCTTACGCAGATCGAGCACTCGCGCTAGAAATGCATATCTCAGAGCCATGTGAATGGGTTAGCTTGCGCTCGTTATAGCTTTGGCTGCATTCTCAGCTTAAAGGTGAACATAGTATTGTGATGCTACGATTCGCGACCTACACGTACACAATGTGCGGCGAGCCGAAACTTTGGAAAAACAAAGGCGTCATCGTCGCCATTATAAATACCGCCAACGAAGAAAGGTCTATGCAACCCCCCCCCCCAAAAAAAAAAAAGAAGAAAAAACACACGCAAACATACACATGCACACACTCACTTTCTTTACGCCCCAAGGGGGAAAAAAAGAGCTTCCGAACAAAATACACTCAAAACCAAACCAAATAGTAAAAAGAAAAAAGAAATGCTGCAACACTTGGGGGCAACTGGAAATTGAACGCAAATCGGAAGATGCGAAAAATGCTCAGTTTTTCGAAGAACGAGGGTATTGTTGGACGTAAATTGCAAATATGGCTTCGTTGACGGCGTATTCGCGATTTATGTTCGGTAAATTGTCAAACCTAATACGTTAAAAAAATTATGTGAAACTTTTTCCGGAAGTTTCGGGTTCCTTTTCTGTCGTTATGCAATGCAAAAAGAAAGAAAAAAAGCTGAGATTGCGAGGTGCTAGAACCGCGTATGAGCTGAGCCTGGGTGAAAGAAAGCAGCTGCAAAGGCTAGGACGCACGAGCGCCTTGAGACGCGGTTTGAGTCACGCTCAGCTCGTGCGCTGGCTTTGGCAGTGCATTCTTTCGCCCAGTCTCAGCTGAGACGCTGTTTCTATCAAGTCGGCCCTGGTGTTCTGCGCGAGCCGTTGCCTTAACTGTTTATTTCACTCTTTATTTTAGGCCATCAAAGTGGAACTCCGAGGCAAGCAAAACACAGGAATAACAAGTAGCACTGCGGAATGACGTCACGAGGGAGCCACGTATAAGGAGTATTCACTGGGCGCCATATTTGTGGGTGATGTCCTGAGGACATGCTCTGAACGAGCCCACATTAATAGGCTGCTAAACCGACAATCTTGAGGGTGCGGAACGCACGTTACAAAAGAACTGTGGAAGCTCGCCATCAGCACGCGCTCAGCAGTGGCGCGCACAGCTATGGCCGCCAGTGAATACTCCCTATAGGAGGTATTCACTGATCGCCATATTTGAAGG